GTCTGCAGAGAGAGCAGGATGTCCGCGGAAGTCCCCGAGGCAGCCTCCGCGGAGGAGCAGAAGGTGAGTGCACGGGGCCGGGGGCCGGGGGCGCCTGGGGCGCAGGGGGCTGTGCCGAGGCGCCTGGGCCGCGAAGGCGGGACACTCCCTGATCCACTGCCCGCAGCAGGTCGGGTCCTGAGCGCCAACGTGCCGGGAGTTTGAACGTTCGCCACGCCTTTCCTCCATAGGCAGAGCCCAGGCTCGGTTCCGAGGCGTGGAACCCACGTTTCCCGTGGCTTCCCCTGGCCTCGGAAGTTTCGTGTTGCCCTTGGAGAACGGCTGCCCTGCCGTGTAGTCTGCGCGCTGTCCATGCCCGAGGCGGCGCCGGTTTGGGCGGCCACGGGTGGAATTTCAGGGCCAGCCCCTGGTGGCCACGGCGTCTTGGTCAGTGATGCCACTCGTTGGGCGTCAGTCTCCGAGTCTGTAAAGTGAACACTAGTGCTTGCTCCGTATGGTAGTTTGCAGGTTCAGAGGACGGGTAACTGATGGTATGCAACGCCGTATGTGTTCACAAACGCGAGCCGGTGATCATTGCACATGGTCATCGACTAAAAACCGAAAGGTTGGAATTAAAACTTACCAATTTAGTTGATAAGGTTTTTCATGGGAACATAGGAATATTTTGTAAACTCACTTGTAATATCTTTGTTATGTAGGGAAGTATGCCATGGATCGTTATGATCCACATGACGAATATACAGGCCCTAGATTTTATCTAGGCTAGTGCTTGCCCCTCCCGCCAAATTCTGCTGCCCTGCCCTCCTGGGTACTTGGGGCTAATCTACAAACGTCCATGATAAGTTGTTTCCTAAATTGTTCATGAAGCGTTACCATCATTTTCTTTAAAAAAAAAAAATTCAATCTGCATTATCATAAATAGGACTTGTTTAAACCCTTGGACTTTGTAAGGGGCATCTAAACCCATTCCATGTGTTCTTAACTACGAAAACTTTTTCTGAGTTGGATGGTTCTGTTGTAACATTACTTGTAAAGTAACTGGAGCAAAACAAAACACCTATAGCATAAATAATAGGCCAAATTACTGCATTATTTGGAAATATTCCAATGAAACTGTGTTGGATATTTCTCACTTTGTAAAAAAAAAAAAAAGGACTTTGGGGGCAAAAAATATATAGGTTAAAGAGTAAAATTTTTACAGGCTTGTCTGATGTACAATAGTACGCTTGCCATTTTCTTTTGAGATTTGCTAGTATGTTGCCAGAGGGTAAAGTGCTGATTTCTCCAGTATAAATGCTGTAAGTTGGAACAGCCTAATACTATGTTTCAGCAATGTTAAGGAAATCATGAATATCTTCTCTTTGTGAGTGTCTACGTTAAAAAGTTATTTCAGGTCCTTTGGTTGTAGGCTTGTTGTCATTAATACCAAAGAGTGTTAGTAATATAATGTCCCTTGAATTAAGAATTGGCTGTAGATGTTGAGTGCCTGTAACATGGATACCATTCCTAAACACGAGGGAAATGTGCAGAGTCACTTCTGTGTTCCTATGGGCCAAGTCACCTGTTTTTTTCTGTTTGGAAGAATAGTTAGATGACCTAAAACATTGGATTATTGTCTGTGTACCCAATTGACCTTTCAATTAAAGTCAGAGTGTTCCACCAAAATACCTTTATAATTTCATGGTACTTTAGCCTCTGAAAAATTAAGGCAAAGAGATGAGTACTGCATGGAGTAAGAGCTAGATCACTGTTTCTCTACCTGAGTAGTCTGAGTACCCTTTTTAAGAGAAAAAAAATCAACAGAACTATTTCTTATTGGAATATTAAATATACTCAAGCATAAAAAGAAGTTTAAATGCATATCTTTTATACCACTCTAAAACTAAAATTAAATACAAACAAAACCAGTCTATTATTTCAGAGTCACATGGAGTTTTGGTGAAAATTTCCAATTTATCAAGAATATGGTAGCAATTGTTAAAGTTCAGGAGCTTTTTGAGTGTGGCAAGTTAACACTTCCAAGACCATATGATGACTCAGTTCTCCTCATTACAAGTAAGTTGTGTGGTTATTTAACTGTAGAGTCATAGATACATTATTTAAGTTGTAATTCAACTCTGTTCTTTTCCCATCTTGGAAAGTAGGAGTAATACTGCTGAGTCTGTGGTCATAAATGAAAGCCCAGACAAGGAAGTCACATAGCTCTACTTAGATATGAGATGGCAATTCAGATGTCCCAGAATATGCTTATAGATAATCTCTTAGATTATCACTGACGTGGAAACAAAACATTAAACAAGTTTTAGCAGAGGCCTCATGGACTTATTATTTGTGATCTCCACTTTGAATACTACTAAGCTAAGACAGACATGCTCTTTGGTCATGGGGGTGATGAGGTATGTGGAGACTTAAATACATAATTGTGTTTTTATTGAGAGTATCTTGAGCTCAGGGACCTTTAGTTAGTTATAGAGGAAGAGAGAGAGAGACATTGATCTTTGCCGTATGCATCACGGGGTATCAAACCCACAACTGGGCATGTGCCTGACGGGGAATCAAACCCTTCACCTTTTGGTGTACGGGACGACATTCCAACCAACTGGGCCACACCATCTAGGGCAGGGACCTTCTTATTTGTCTTTTCTCCCATATCACCTAGCATAGTACCTGGCATTGTTCAGAAAATGTTGAATGAATTTTTCTCAGAACTTTGCAGTTGAAACTGTTGCCAAAGTATTACTCTAATACAAATGGCAATGCTAGCACTATAGTTAAAAGAGGGGTCTGGGGGAGTAGAGAGAACCCTAGCCGGTTTGGCTCAGTGGAGAGAACATCGGCCTGCAGACAGAAGGGTCCCGGGTTCCATTCTGGTCAAGGACACATATCTAGGTTGTAGACTCAATCCCCATCCTCGCTTGTGAGTGGCAACCAATCCATGTGTCTCACATCGATGTTTCTCTCTGTCTCGCCCCCTTCCTTTCCACTCTCTAAAAATCAGTGGGAAAATGTCCTCAGGTAAGGATTAACAAAAAAAAAGAAAAAAGAGAGAGAGAGAGGAATAGACCATGGCAATATAAAAATCTTAGCTTAGACCTACTTAAGTCTTAATGAAAAGGGGAAGGGGAGTTATAAGCCGCAGGGATGTAATGTACAGCACAGGGAATAGAGTCAATAATATTGTAATAACTATGTACAGTGACAGATGTTTACTAGGTTTAGTGTGGTGATCACTTTGTAAGGTATATAAATGTTGAATCTGTATGTTGTACACCTGAAATGAATATAATACAATGTATGTCAACTATAATAAAAAATAAATTTTTATAGCTGTGCCCAGGCAGGGCACATACTCAGGTTGAGGGTTCCATACCCAGTTGGGATGTGTACTAGAGGAAACCAGTCGATATTTCTCTCTCACATTGATGCCTTTCTCCCTCTTCCTTACTCTCTAGATGCAATTTTTTTTTAATAGACTTTTATTGATTTCAGAGAGGAAGGGAGAGGGAGAGAGAGATAGAAACATTAATGATGAGAGAGAATCATTGATCGGCTGCCTCCTGCACGTTTCCTACGGGGGATTGAGCCTGCAACTCGGGCATATGCCCTTGACTGGAACCAAACCGGCCAGGGTAAAAATTTATTTTTTAAAATAATTGATTCCAGCCCTAGCTGGTTTGGCTCAGTGGATAAAGGGGCGGCCTGCAGACTGAGGGTCCCAGGTTCGATTCCAGTCAAGGGCACATGCCAGGTTCCAGACTCGATCCCCAGTGTGGCATGTGCAGGAGGCAGCCAATCGATGATTCTCTCTCATCATTGATGTTTCTATCTCTCTCTCCTCCTCCCTTCCTCTCTGAAATCAATAAAAGTCTATAAAAATATAAAATAAAAAATAAATTTTTACAAATTTAAAAGATGCACATACACACACACACACACACACACACACACACACACATTTTCCCCATATATATAGTGGGTTTTTATTATTTTTAAAAGATCTCAATAGCATGTTTTCTAGAGATTTTATTATAAGATCGATTAAATCAAGTTAGTTAAAAGTCTTAGAAAGAGGCTAACTCAAGTAGAGTTTTCAACTATATTATTTCTGTCAGTTTAAAAGATATGCTTGGTCCTGCCGAGCTGGTGTGGTTCAGTGGTTGAACGTTGACCCATGAACCAAGAGGTCACTGTTCAATTCCTGGTTAGGGCACATGCCCAGGTTGTGAGCTCAATCCCCACTATGGGGCATGCTGGAGGCAGCTGATTGATAATTCTCTTTCATCATTGATGTTTCTATCCCTCTCCTTCCTCTCTCTGAAATCAATAAAAACATATACGTGTATTTTTTTTTTGTCACCCAAGGATATTTCTCCATCGATTTTTAGAGAGAGTGGAAAGTGGGGGCGGGGGGGGGGGGAGACACAGAGAGAAAAACATCGATGTGAGAGAGACACATGGATTGGTTGCCTCCCGCATGCACCCCGACCAGGACAGGGAATTGAACCTGCAACTGAGGTAAGTGCCCTTGACCAGAGTCACCCCGGGACCCTTCAGTACGAGGGTCGACGCTCTATCCACTGAGCCAGATCTGCTAGGGCAATAAAAACATATATTCTTAAAAATATATATATATTCTTAGTTCTTTTTTGAGAGGTGGAAGAAGAGAACTAATATTTAAATTTAAAAGTGCAGTTAATACTATCATTTTCTAGGACTGTTCTGACAATACCTTTGGTCACTAAAAGGCTTAAGAGTGTTTTCAATTCAGAGCCCAATGTGCTAAAGCTATCAGGTGTTTAGATAGAAAGTTCCTTAGCTTTATTGAAACAGTTGGAGTGTACATCGTTGTATTTGTTGAACACCCATTAAGTGGCAGGCAAGCAGCAAGGACTTAGGATGACTACAGTATTTTCCAGAGAGGTTGACAGTATTGGTACCTTTCTGACAATATCCCAAAGGATTTGTTGCTTTCATTAATCTTTTCTATTTATTCATAAATCAGTGCATCAGTGAATTATATTGCTTGGCAGATAGAGGAGAATTTGCTTAGAGTGGCCAGATTT